CGTGAAGTCTCATGAAGTCTTGTAAGTCTTTTGAAGTCTTCTGAAGTCTCTTGAAGTCTTTTGAAGTCTTATGAATCATCATAAAGTCTCATAAAGTCTCTGAAGTCTTTGAAGTCTCTTGAAATCTCATGAAGTCTCATGAAGTCTCATGAAGTCTCATGAAGTGTCATGAAGTCTCTTGAAGTCTCTTGAAGTCTCTTGAAGTCTCATGAAATCTAATGAAGTCTCATGAATTCTTTTGAAAGTTTTGAAATACATTTAGTGCATGAAAACTCATAAGAAACCCATGAAATTGTCTTGTTTTCGACGATTTTATTTTAGCAGAAAGGTGAACTATTTATTGTTTTTTTTTCAATGTGCTGGAAAAAATTCAAGCTTGTTTGGTCTTAGTAAACGTAATAGTTAATAACGGAATCTTTTTGAATGAAGTGTTTTATTATTATAAGAAATGTTTTATCTATCCAAATCAATCTGATGAAGAATTTTAATCCTTCTTGTTTGTTTCTATCACTCGTGATAATCTATCAGCCGATAAACGGCTAGCTTTGTCAGTTAATAACCAACAAGCCGTTTGCTTGTGTATAAATTTAGTCTTGTTATTTATTTGCACTTGAAAATAGGAGTTTTTCATTGCTGGATTGATCGAATCAAATATACGCATACCAGTAAAATTTATTTTCTCAGTTTTAATTTCATCAACACTTTGTGTCGTTGCCACATCTTTATCTTCTTCATCCACATTGATTAGATCACTATTAAATTCATTACTTTCCATTATTTCATCATCATAATCAGATTCAGAATCTGATGAAGAATCTGCATCCGTTGCCCAATAAGTATCCGAATTAATGTTGAATCTAATACTATCAAATATATTTTTACTTAAACTATTAAGTTCACAAGCATAGCATTTCTTTAATGAAGGTAATATATTCAAATTACTAACTAGTTCTTTTGCACGATTAAATGCAGCTAAAATAATATTTTCACCATTATTTAATCCTCGTCGCTAAGGGCTGTAATGGGGTGGGGGTGGGGGGGGGGGTATGTCTGTAATGCTCTCTTTCTCCGTTGCTAAGTGCCTATAATGGGGTGGGCGGAGAGAGAGCCATCAAACCTCGAACTGAAAACGTACACTCACTATTTTCTTCGAAAATATACGTGAGTTCCACAAAACAGACTTTTGGGAGCAATCAATTTTCAATATCATTCCTGTTCGTGGTTCTCGGAAGACACTAGTTACTATGTTATGAATAAGGGTGTCAATTTATATTTAGTTTCCATTTAATTTACGCGTAAATTAAATGATAAATAATTTATATGTATTGTAAAGTAAACGGTAAATGACACCCCTACTATTTGATAAGTTTTGTTTTTTTGCATGTTATAGAGGTTTCATGTAATTTCTATAAGATTTTCTGATAAGCATGGAATCTGCCTCTTGAAGTCCTATGAAGTCTTGTGAAGTCTTGTGAAGTCTTGTGAAGTCTTCTGAAGTCTTGTGAAGTCTTGTGAAGTTTCGTGAAGTCTTGAGAAGTTTTATAAAATCTTGTGAAGTCTTATGAAGTCTGATGAAGTCTTATAAAGTCTCAAGAAGTCCTACAAAGTCTCTGAACTCTCATGAAATCCGTGAAGTCTCGTGAACTCCCTGAAGTATCACGAAGTCTGTGAAGTCTAACGAAGTCTTTCAAAGTTTTTTGAAGTCCCATGAAGTCCCATGAAGTCATACGGAGTCTTACGAAGTCTTGCGAAGTCATTTGAAGTCCAATGAAGTTTTCAGAAGTCTTTAGCAGTCTTTCGAAGTCTTGTGAAAAGATGAAGTCACAGTGAGTGAAATCCGTTGAAGTCTGTTGAAGTCTTTTGAAGTCTTGCAGTCTTGACGTCCGCTGTTACCCCCTGTATTATACACAGCTCATTTTTATTTGAAAATACAAGGACATCTTTGTCATCCTTCTTCATTCTAGGGCCCAGTGCATTGACATTCAACGTCGCTAAACGCTACTTGTTTCATAACATGAAATCCCTGGAATCTGTGATAGGCCCTGAAACTCCTGTAGTGGCGAAAATAGGACACAACGACGTCCGGAGTTCCATGGCTACCAACTTCGGGATCGTTTACAATCCTCCGAATCTCATACAATTCATCATCATCTACAACATTCGAAATCCCAGACATAATTGCATATCATGGAATCCTTGGAAACCACGGTATCTCCGGAACATTCGACAGCGGCAAAACACCGTTTTGGAAGCTCCATCGTTACAAGCATTCGTACTTCACGATCTTTTAAAATCAGCCGAATCAAATAGAATTCATCATGATCTACAACATCCGAAATACCAGTCTTTGTTTCCACTCATGCAAACTTTCGAAGTCTTGGTAATGCGTCAAAACGACAATGGAGACCATCGGCGTTTCAACGAAAAGCACAGTTGCACAAGTTTTCACTTCACGATCTTTTGGAACACTTCGAATCTGACAGATTTCATCATCATCTACAATATTCCAAATGCCAGACTTTGTTGCCTCTCCTTCAATCCTTGAAATCCTTGGCAATGCGTCAAAAGGCCTATGGAGACCATACCAGTTCTCCCGAAGTCTACCATTGCATAGCTTCCCACTTTAGGATCTTTTGGAATCCTTGGAATCTGATAGAAATCATCATGATCTACAATAGTCCAAATGCCACACTTCGTTGCCGCTCATGGAATCCTTCGAACGCTTGCCTATGCTTCAAAATACCTATGCATACCATAGGGGTTTTCGGGAGGTCCAAAGTTGCATAGGTTCTCACTTTACGATCCTTTGGAATCCTTGAAATCTGATAGAAATCATCATCATCTACAATATTCCAAATGCCACACTTTGTTGCCTCTCATGGAATCCTAGGAAGCCTTGGCAATGCTTCAAAATACCTATGGAGACCATAGGGGTTTTCGGGAGGGCCAAAGTTGCATGGATTCTGACTTTTCGATCATTCGGAATCCTTGGAATCTGATAGAAATCATCATGATCTACAACATTTCAAATGCCACAATTTGTTGCCTCTCATGGAATCCTTGGAAGCCTTGGCTATGCTTCAAACGCCTATGGAGAAAATAGAGGTTTTCGGGAGGTCTAGAGTTGCATAGGTTCTCACTTTACGATCTTTCGGAATCCTTGGAATCTGATAGAAACCGTCATGATCTACAACATTCCAAATGCCACACTTTGTTGCCTCTCATGG